CTGAGGATAAAATTGTTCCCGCCAATGTCCGATACTCTTATAAATTCAAATATAATTTAGTTAAAAATGTACAAAATATTCCTTCTTGTATCCGTTTGGTAGTATGTTCAGTCCTCGTCAGATTTCATGCTTGTTGAAAGGCTATCTTTCAGTTTTACACATTATTGTTTTCAAGTTTTTTTAAACCATGAACCGCCCGCTTGTAAAGCCTCGTATCTGTCCAATTACTAATGCCGCTTATCATTTATACAACGTGGTCGAATTCCAACACACAACTATATGAGCATTACATGGATTCTTCCTAATATAATTGAGAACTATTTGATTTTCCGTAAACGGAATCTATATGGGGTATAGTTTGGAAACCCTGAATACAAGTGTAACGGCAGATTGGACTTAAAATTACTGAGGAATTAAAAACTTTTTTTCAAATCGAAAGACACCCTTTTTTACAGTATACAGTAGAAGAAGACGTAATTTGCTGCCAAATATTTACAGAAAATATTCTTTTTGTGCATGTTTTCTCTTAAATACTATCCGAATTTTTACGGTCATCGAAAATCACTGGGAATATTTATAGTACCCACGAATTCATTTTTTACAGAGTCTTTGTTTCACACGGGTAGGAAAGAAGCTTCTTAAAAGGTTACCATTCTTGGATGATTGAAATATCTCCAGATTATTTTACAAGATAATTAAATGTTAAAACCGTACCTAATTAATATTTTCAACTCGAAACCGTATTTCAGAATTTCTGTTAACATATAATTTGCTAAGCCGTCTACTGCAGTCCTCGTTGTACCCGATTACAATTCGCGAGTGGTTGGCAGGTCATTCAGTCCAGTTGCCTTTTAGGCTAGCGTTCATTTGATCTAAGTGTTGTACGTAATTGGCTGAGGACTGTGAATAAGACATAGCGCTCGACTCAGTCTGCTATGCTCTGCGGGTAAACTTTCTCGCAGTAAAGGTGTTGTGCCTTCACTGGAGTACTTTTTGGGACAAGAACTCCCAGCATGCGTTGCAACCGAACTTCCAGGATATCCTCTTAAATGGAAATACTTGAATAGGTGATATTTCAAACCTGGATAGCAGAAAAATAATCCAAGGTTAGAGCTTACGTGGTACCATGTTGCGTTCTGGTCGTAAATATTATTGAATCCTTGTTTAACTTGCTCTCAAAGGAACTGCATAATTAGTGTGCGTTTTATATTTATTTTTCATGACTGCTTGAGCACAATTATTGCACTCCAAACACAGTTAATAGGTCCCTTTTGTAAAATAAACGTAAGTCTGATTCTGGTCTGGAAAGTATAGAAAGGAAGTGTCTCAAATTCGCTAATAATTGTATATTTAGAAACATGGCCAGCATTCCCATTTAATCTAAAGGTTTTTAAATTGCATACTATGTTACTTCCTTAAAGCAAGTATATTTGGTGGGAATAGGAACGTTCCCGCAGTAATATATGTGGCTTTGCACAAAATATCAGGATTTTTACTATTACCAAGTCATAAAGCGACCCCTAAATGGAAACTTAACCCTAGCCCTAACCATAACGCTAGCCCTAAACTCGACCCTCACCCTATTCAAAACCCTAGCTTAACTCTAACCCAAATCTCCTTGGAACCTAGCCCACGGACCCTGGAATAGTGAGGCGTTGTCATCCACTAAAGCCTTCGAGTTCGTATAATGATGCGTTTTTATGCTCATGGCATACCGCAATACGTATGGCTCACGGAATATAGTTTGTCAGAACTAACAAATCCAAGTTCGACAGTCTAAAGCAGTGTGGTTTAATTAGTAGGATAAACTGTTGCCACTGCGATCTTCAGGCCCGGTTCATTGTGGAAAGAAAAGAAGTGAGACACTTGGTGGAAGGAGTATCTTATTCGGTACAGCCGTAGTGGAAAATAGGAGGGCGGAATTTGACTGTCAGACCAGCGTACGTCCGGCCGCGAGGGGGTCGAGTCCGAGTGTCTTAGCGTGCAAGTCATCATATGAGATCCTGTGTGAGTCAGCTTCAGAAAGATGATTGGCCAGACAGATTGGGATCGGCAGACTTAAGTGTGTCCGCACTTGCTAGACATCGTGAATTTTTGAGCGTTGGCGTAGTCTGCGGCACCTGTTATTAGCTATCCCAAAGACAGACCGAGACTGTAATAACCACAGGCCTACGTTAATAATCACGCGGTGCATTAAAAATGTTTATAACGACGACTTTTCCAAAACAAAATCTTTCTGTTAATCGTATAATATGTTGGAGGAACATCAACTTTATTAGTAGTCGGATGTAGAGGAGTATTTTTGCTCACAAATCAATGCACAAGTGCACGCTGCTTAAACCGTCAGTTTCTGCGACGGAATTTTCATAAGTAGCTGGAGGGCTGTTCACTGAAAGGACCACAAATCGCCCAGTAGCACATAACGTGGAATTATGTCTCCTGCTATCAGCATATGCAAACACACCTCATTAGTACTTTCCTCTTGAAAATGTATACAAAAACTTGGCGATTATTGCAGATATAAGGATTCCAAAATATTATGGAGCTGTTGTCCTTTAAATAACTTGACTCAATCAAGTGTTGATTAAATTTGGCACTTCCGATCTTGAAGTTGAAAAGTACGTAGTTCAATGGGTAAATGTGTCAAATGGGGAGATAAATTTTTAAAAATGATTTAATCTGGAAAGTTAAAGCCACATAACAGGGCCTTGGAGTTGTCCTCGAAAGCACCCGCACCCTTTGAGTTGCTTTTGTTAGGACGTCAGACTGGAAAAAGGGAAGTGCAAAAATGGGTTCTCAAAGGGACTTGCATCAGATACACTTCGTAACGAAAAACCACGCTCCGGTAATCAGTAAACTTCCGAATTGTACCATCTTTAGCATACGGCCGTCCTAAAATAATAGTATCTGATACTGTAAATGATGGGGCGCAATGAATCGCAGTTGTATCGACAGGCGTTAAGGCTAAGAATGTTTAACCCTAACGGCTGCGATCTTCCAGGCCCGGTTCCTTAGTAAAGGAGAGAAGTCTTGGGAAGGTCAGGGTAGTCAGAACAATGTATTATGTACACAAGAGTTAGAAGCAAGTTGCCACTCGGTCCGGTATGGTGTCCAACTGTGAGGGCCGTTTTGAGAGCGCGGCGTTGTCGCGACCGCCCGTGCTGG